CCACCAGCCTCAGCCCAGAACCTGCCCTCTGACCCACGTCTCACCTGGAGGTGGAGCCTGGTTCATGGGCGTAGCAGCAGGACGTCCCTCGGGCACTGCCCCAGCTCCAGGAGCATGGACCGGCACAGAGGCACAGAGGTTTATCATCCCACTGGCCCCTCCTCCTCCTCCTCCTCCTCCTCCCGCTGCCGCCGCCGCTGTGGACGCCGGCTCTCTGGTGCCCGGGGGCCCCGCTCTCCTGCGCGCTGTACCCAGGCCGGGAGTCACCTCGGCCGGGGTCCAGTTCAGGTTCGGTCCCTCCTTATCGTTGGAGGAGTCGTCATCGGAGTCGTCAAACATGCGCTAAACGGACAAAAACAAAAGTGGATTTAAATGAAGAGAAGCAGGAGCAGAAGACGCAGAATTTTATATCAGAATTTACTATTTTAAATGCAGATGCTTTTATCAGTTTTTTCTAAGATTTGTCTTTTTAGAGCTTTAAATCATGTTACATTATTGTCCGTTCAAAAAACACACGAGTTGTATTTTTGTTTCATTGATTAAAGTCATTTTCTCTGAGCTTCTTAATTAGTCGGTTCACATTTTACCAGCTTAGTCCACTAACTCCAAACTCCAAACAAAACTAGTCTACAGTCACATTGTGCTGACGGAGAATAGGGACATTTGTTTAAGTTAGAAAATGTGAAATAATGTGTCCTAAGGCATGTTTAAAGTGGGAATTAAAGCTACAAAAATACATAGTATGTGTTTTTTACCCACAGAGTAATGTTAGTCCCTCCATCTGAAATTAAAACAACACAGCAACATCATAAACTGAACTTGTGTCTGACCTCTTGGCGGCGCTCTGGCTTGCGGGGTGGCGGGGACACAGAGTTGAACTTCTTGGGGCCCGGGCGTCTGCGTGGGCTGGAGTCGGAGGAGCTGGAGCCCGGGGACCTCCTGGAGCTCAGGTCTGACTCGTCGTCGCTCTGCTCCTCTGGCTCGATGTAGGTGAGGCGGGGGTGGTACAGAGACTCCTCCTTACGATTCTTATCTGAGAAAACAGGAGAAAAGGTGTGAACAAAAACATTAAATATCGATTGTTCTGGCTCTCAGGCGTTATCTAGTTCATTTATAAACAGTGCATCCGGGAAGTATTCACAGTGCTTATTTTTTCCCACATTTTGTCATGTTACAGCCTCATTCCAAATTGTATTAAATTCATCTCTTACCTCAAAATTCTACACATAATCCCCCACTATGACAATGTGAAAAAAGTTTTTTTTTGACATTTTTTGAATTTATTAAAAATAGAAAACCAATACATCACATTTACATAAGTGTTCACAGCCTTTGCTTAATACTTTGTTGATCCACCTTTGGCAGCAATTACAGCCTCAAGTCTTTTTGAATATGATGCCACAAGCTTAGCACAACTATCTTTAGGCAGTTTTGCCCATTCTTCTTTGCAGTAATTCTCAAGCTCCATCAGGTTGGATGGGAGACGTCTGTGCACAGCCCCTTTCAGGTCTCTCCAGAGATGTTCAATCGGATCCAAGTCTGGACTCCGGCTGGGCCAATGCAGGACATTCACAGAGTGATTCTGAAGCCAATCCTCTGAGATCTTAGCCGTGTGCTTCGGGTCGTTGTCCTGCTGAAAAATGAACTTTCGCTCCAGTCTGAGGTCAAGAGCGCTCTGGAGCAGGTTTTCATCCAGGATATCTCTATTATATATTGCTGCTTTCATTTTTCCTTCTATCCTGACTAGTCTGCCAGTTCCTGCTGCTGAAAAACATGCCCATAGCACGATGCTGCCACCCCCATGCTTCACTGTAGGGACGGTATTGGCCTGGTGATGAGCGGTGCCTGGTTTCCTCCAAACATAACGCCTGGCATTCACACAAAAGAGTTCAATCTTTGTCTCATCAGACCAGAGAAATTTGTTCTCATGGTCTGAGAGTCATTCAGGAGACTTTTGGCAAATTCCAGGCAGGCTGCCATGCTCCTTTTACTAAAGAGTGGCTTTCGTCTGGCCGCTCTACCTCACAGGCCTGATTGGTGGACTGCTGCACAGATGGTTGTCCTTCTGGAAGGCTCTCCTCTCTCCACAGAGGAACGCTGGAGCTCTGACAGTGACCATCAGGTTCTTGATCACCTCCCTGACTAAGGCCCTTCTCCCCCGATCGCTCAGTTTAGACGGTCGCTCAGCTCAAGAAGAGTCCTGGTGGTTCCAAACATCTTCCATTCACGGATACTGGAGGCCACTCTGCTCACTGGGACCTTCAAAGCAGCAGAAATTTTTCTACATCCTTCCCCAGATTTGTGCCTCAAGACAATCCTGTCTCGCAATTCCTTTGACTTCATGCTTGGTGTTTGTGCTCTGACATGCACGGTCAACTGTGAGGCCTTATATAGACAGGTGTGTGCCTTTCCAAATCATGTCCAATCAACTGAATTTACCGCAGGTCGACTCCAATTAAGCTGTAGAAACATCTCAAGGATGATCAGTGGAAAAAGGACGCACCTGAGCTCAATTTTGAGCTTCATGGCAAAGGCTGTGAATATTTATGTATTTTTTAGTTTTCTATTTTTAATAAATTCAAAAAATGTTTCACATTGTCATAATGGGGTATTGTGTGTAGAATTTTGAAGTAAGAGATGAATTTAATAAAATTTGGAATGAGGCTGTAAAATAACAAAATGTGGGGAAAAAATGAAGCGCTGTGAATACTTTCAGGATGCTCTCTATGCTCTTATTTTGAAATATGTGCTTTTATTTTGGTACTTCACACCAGTCCATGGAACTGGAAGTGTAAAAAAGAGGAGTAAAGAGATGATAAAGTTTTTTTTTTTTGTTTTTTTTTACATTATTCTATTTAGGTGCAGGTTTTGTACCCTATTTCCTCTCCTGTTTCTGTCATGTACCTTTGACCGAGTCTGTGATCCAGTCTGGAGTCACAATCTTGATGCTGGGGTGTTTCAGAGCGCATTCATACTTCACCTGAAAATAAAAACACACAAAAATGCTCGAGTGAATAATCAATAGTCAATCAATAGTTTTCATTTGGTCCTAAAACATGCCAACCTGTTCAGACTAAAACACAAATGTAAAATGACTCCTTACCCCTTTGGGCTCTTTCACCACCAAATGTGTGACTTTTCTGTTGAGGTTGAGTTGACAGCTGCCTCCATAGAACGTGACGTAGGCCCAAAGACTGTTCAGGTCCTCTGGGATCTGCTCACAAAACCACACAGACACAGTTTAAAAAGGAGCGTAGAATCCGTGTATCATTCGTTCATTCGTTTTTCAATATAAAACCAAAAATAAGAAAACGAAAAAGCAACTGTTTTCTTCATTATTTGTCTCCAAAACCAAAATGAAAAAACGGATAACGATTAGTTTTTTCAGTTTTAGATTTTGTGTTTAAATGAAAAATGGAAAAAACGGATAACGACGTGACTGCGAAGCCGGACTTTTGCGCTATATACAGACTGAACCAGGACTGATCCAGGTCCGAGACCAGACCGGGACCAGAGCGGGACTGAGATCAGAACTGAGACCGAGACCAGGCCGGGACCAAACTGGACTCACGCTTCTGTCCGGATGCTGCTCCACCCCGGAACCAGCCGCGGTTCTTGAGCGTGGAGGACCGGAGCAGCCCGTCCGGACCTGTAGTCCACAGCGCATTCTCGCTTTCCCCGCACAGAACCAGCGCGCAGACCATTACACATAACCGCTCGGACCGCTGGTGTCGGTCTCAGTCCCGGTCTGGTCCCGGTCTGGTCCCGGACCTGGATTAGTCCTGGTTCAGTCCGTATGCAGCGCAAAAGTCCAGCTTCGCAGTCACGGAAGTCACGTAAACAGGAAACTGCGTCTAGGTCCGGGACCACACCGGGAACAGACCGGTGACAGATCAGACCGAGACCAGACTGGGACCAGACCAAGATCAGACCGAGGGCTCAGAGCCCATGGCAGGGCCGGAGCTCGAAGCTGAGGCTCGGAGTTAAAGCTCGGAGTCCGCTCTGGCCCCGCTCTGGCCCCGCTCTGGCCCCGCTCTGGCCCCGCTCTGGCCCCGCTCTGGCCCCGCTCT